TGCATTTTTGGAGGTGCTGTCCTTCGATTGAGATGTAAATCAAGGCCCTGTCTGCTTGTTCAGCTGGACATTAAATATTCCGTGACAAAAGAGAAGGGAAGAGAAGGGAAAGAAATAGGAATTAGGAGCAGAAGTAGGCCATTCGGCCCCTCAAGCCTGCCTCGCCATTCAATAAGATCATGGCTCATCTTCTAACCTAAACTCCATTTGCCCACCTAATCCTCATATCCCTTAATCCCTCATCCTTTAGAAACCTATCAATCTCAGTCTTGAATATGTTCAAGGACTGAGCATCTACAGCCTTCTGGGCTAGAGAATTTTATAAATTCACTCTCTGCTGAGGGAAGAAGTGTTTCCTCAACTCTGCTCGAAAAGGCTGACCCTTAATCTTAAGACTGTGACCTCTAGTTATAGATTCTCCTACCAGGGAAAACAGTCTCACACTGTTTTACTCTGTCAAGCCCCATAAGAATCTTATATGTTTTTATAAGCTCACCCCTAATTCTTCTACATTTTAGAGAATATAGGCCTAGTTTGCTCAACCTATCTTCATAGGTCAACCCCCTCATCCCAGGAACCCACCTAGTGAATCTACGCTGCACCCCCTCTAAGTATGTTCTTTCTTAAATAAGGAGACCAAAACTGTACATAATATTCGAGGTGCAGTCTCACCAAGGCCCTATACAGTTGTAGCAAAACTTCCCTTCTCTTTTATTCTAACTCTTTTGCAATAAGCCCCAACATGCCATTAGCCTTCCTAGTTTCTTGCTGTATCTGCATATTAACTTTTCGTGACTGGTGTTCAAGGACACCCAAATCCCTCTGAACACTAACACTATCTAGTCTCTCCCCCTCTAGAAAATAATCTGCTTTTCTGTTTTTACTACACGGTCCAGCGCCTTGGGACATCCTCCCTACGTGAAAGGCGCTATACAAATGTAATCTTGTTATTGTTGTTGAATAACTTCACACTTCCCCACATTATATTCCATCTGCCACCTTACCCATCTGTATCCCTTTGCAATTTTTTTGTGTCATCCTCCGAGCTTACTCTCCCACCTAGCTTAGTATCATCTGTGAATTTAGATATAAGTTCTATGTTCTTGCCTAGATCATTGATATAGATTGTAAATAGTTGAGGCCCAAGTACTGATCCTTGTGGCACTCCACTAGTCACATCTTGCCAATCTGAGAAGGACCCATTTATCTCTACTCTCTGTTTTCTTCCCGTTAGCCACTCTTCGATCCATGTTGTGTAGCAGCCTTTTACGTGGCACCTTGTCGAATGCCTTTTGAAAATCTAAATACACTACATCTACTGGTTCCCCCCTATCTATTCAGCCTCTCTGCCCCACAATCTGGAACTCCATCCTACTGTCCCTTCGCCTTGCTTCCTCCCTTGCCTCCTTCAAGGCCGGTCTCAAGACCCTTCTCTTCAATTGTGGCCTTTTATCACCTTCCCAACTCTCTGCCTTCCTTCACCCCTACATCCCCCCCCCCCCCCCCCCTCCCCCATGCTCAGGTCCCGACCCTGACTGTTCAGTGCTTTGGGACGTCTTCCTAACGTGAAGGGCACTCTATAAATGTAATTTTGTTGTTGTTGTATCTAACCTGCTAGTTACATTCTCAAAAAACTCTAAAAGATTTGTTAAGCATGACTTCCCTTTTGTAAAGCCATGTTGACTCTGCCTAATCATGTTATGGTCCTCTAAGTACCCCACTACGACGTCCCAAATTAAGGATTCTAGAATTTTCCCTACCACCGATGTCAGACTGACTGGTCTATAGTTCCCCATCTTCTCTCTCCCACCCTTCTTAAATAGTGGTGTTACGTTTGCGATCTTCCAATCAATGGGAACCATTCCAGAATCCAGAGAATTTTGGAAGATCAAAAACAAGGCATCCACTATCTTAGCAGCCACCTCCTTTAAAACCAGGGGATTTATAATTTTTCAATTCCAACAGTTTCCCTAGTACTAATTGTTTACTGATGTTAATTTCCCTAAGTTGCTCACTAACATTAGCTTCTTGGTTCCCCTCTATTTTTGGTAAGTTTTCAGTGTATTCTAACGTGAAGACAGAAGCAAAGTATTTGTTTAATGAATCTGCCATATCTTTATCCCCCATTATAATTCCTCCTGTCTCTGCCTGTAATGGACCTACATTCACTTTTGCTAGACTCTTCCTCTTTATGTATTTGTAAAAACTCTTGCAGTCTGTCTTTATGTTCCTAGCTAGTTTGCCCTCATAATCAATTTTCTCCCTCCTAATCAGTTTCCTAGTTTTTCTTTGTTGGTCTCTGAAGCCCTCCCAATCCTCATGTTTACTGCTCTTTTTGGCAGTATTATAGGTCTCTTCTTTTAATTTTATACTTTCCCTAACTGCTCTGGTTAACCATGGTTGAAACACTTTTCCCGTGGTATTTTTATTCCTCAAGGTAATGTGTGATCGCTGGGAATTATGTACTATATCTTTAAAGGTTTGCCATTGCTGATCTACTGTCATATCCTTTAATCTAATTCCCCAGTCTATTTTAGCTAAATCCTCTCTCATACCTGCAAAGTTGGCTCTATTTAAATTTAAGTCCCATGCTTCAGACTTAACTACATCCCTCTCTAACTTAATGCTAAATTCCATCATGTTGTGGTGCCCTAGAGGAGCTTTAACTTCCAGATTGCTGATTAGCCCTATTTCATTACACAAAACAAGATCTAGGATAGCTGTTCTCTGGTTGGTTCCTCAGCATACTGATCTAGAAAACTATCTCTAATGCATTCTATAAACTCCTCCTCTATCTTACTTTTGCCAATTTGGTTTTCCCAATCTATATGAAGATTAAAATCACCCACTATTAGTGTATTTCCTTTGCTGCATGCTCCACTAATTTCCTGGTTAATACTCTGTGCAATAATGTGAATGCTGTTTGGGGTCTATAAACTACTCCCACTATTGTTTTCTGCCCCTTATTATTTTGTAATTCCACCCATACTGACTCTACATCCTGATTTTCTGATTTAAAATCCTTCCTCTCTACTGTTTTTATTCCATCCTTTATTAGCAAGGCTGGCCCCCACCTCGTTTTCCATATTTAGTTCCCACCCTTGATCTCCCTATAACCACGTCTCAGTAATGGCTACTGGATCATAACCGTTTGTTTCTATTTACGCCATTAATTTGTCTATCTTATGACCAATGTTTCATGCACTCAGATATAGCGCCTTGGCTTCTTCTATTTCCCCTACTTGCTAAGGCCCTATTTTCTTTGCTGAGCTTCTTGTCCCTCCTTGACACACTCTGTTTATCTCCCTCGCTAATCTGCTCTGCCACCTTCATCATTCTTAGTTTTGCTGGTTTACTTCTAACTGTAACTATAATAATAATAATAATCCTTGCATTTGATATAGCTCTTTTCACGTCGGGAGGATGTCCCAAAGCGCTTCACAGAACACACTGTAAAGTGAATTGACTGTATATTTGTGGGCGAACGCGGAAGCCAATTGCGCACAGCAATGTCCCACAAACAGTCGTAGATTGAAAATGACCAATTTATTATTGTTTTGGGTTTTGGAGGGATTATTATTAGGCGTGTGGAGTAAGGAAATTTGCCCAAAGTTTCGCCCTGCCTGGAATTGAACTCAGGTCTCTCGCTTGCAAAGCGAATGCTCTAACCACTGAGCTACAGGACTCCGAACTGTAACCTTCCTTCCCCTGCCTTTTTCTTGGTATTTTGATCAACAATCCTCCCTCTCAAAAAATGGACAGTCATTCAATAGCTGTTTGTGAGATATTGATGTGTCAAATTGCTGCTTTCGCCTACAAAACACACAGTCATTCCATTTTACAGTATATCCTGTGAAGAAATGGGGCCATCCTCTTGATGTGAAAGACTCTATACCAAATATAAGGATTACTGATCTGTTTTATTAACCCTGCAAGCTGAAGCCCTTATGGGTAGGGCTGTAATGGGATCATAGCTGGACAAGCAGAAGAAAGCTTGCCATTCAGTGCTCACTCACAATGGTAAGCTATGCAGTTTTAGCTGGTTAAGTTCCAGCAGTACCTTAACATACACTCTAGGGTCCCCAAGCCTTGGCTCTTGCCAATCTATGCCTAATACTTTCTGATATTAAATAAGTAGAGTGCTTCCCTCCAGGGAGAGAATATGCATTCCATTCCAGACACAGCAAAATATATGTGGAACACTGACTGGTTTGGATATTCTTAAGCATGCTGATGGTTTTACACAGAAACCCAGTGTCACAAATATGTGGAAAATTGAGGTAAATGGGATTTAATGGGCTGCTCTTTCAAAGAGACATCAAAGACACAATGGGCCAAATGGCACAGTCAAAGAGATAATGAAGTGAAGGGATAGAGGCAAGGAGTGCCAGAAGTTAGATGACTAAAAGCACTGTCAAAGCGATGGGTTTAGAGATATTAGCCTCGGAATAATGAGCTGTACAGCATATATTTCGCCCATAAAATATACAGTCAACTTACTTAACAGTATATTCTGTTAATCGCTTTGAGACGTCTCGAAGATGTGATAAGGCGCTATATCAAATACAAGGATTATTATCATGTAAACAGTGAACGATAACTATGAAAGACAACAACAGCAACAAATTATACCTGTATAGCACCCTTTATGTCGGGAGGACACTGCGAGATGCTGGACAATCAGAGATTTGGACCAGAGCAGGGGGTTGGGATCAGAAAGGATGGAAGGCACGGAAGGTAGGGGTAGGAGGGTGGCCGAAGGCGCAGTCGAAGAGGAGGTTCTTGAGACATGTCTTGAAGGAGGAAAGGGAGAGAAAGCAAGGCAAAGGGAACTCCGGGATGGAGTTCCAAAGGGTGGGCCAGAGAGGTTGAAGGCCCAACTTTATGCACAGTTATATCATACAGTTGACTATTTTTGTTTTTTTAAGAATCATTTGCCTTGGACACGGCATGGAAAATGTCTAAGCTATCAAAACACAATACAATTTATATTCTTATAGTACCTTCTCACGTGGGTGGATATCTCAAATCGCTTGACACTGCTGGCTGGGCACCTTGTGCTGGAGGTAAGAACCAAGAGGGGCGAAGAGGAGAAAGATGACCAAAAGTGCAGTCAGAGAAGTACATCTTTTGTTATACAATATTGGGATGTCAGAGGAGTAAGGGATAAAAGCTATATCCTCACTCTGTTACTGAGCATTCTCATGTGTTATTATAATCTTGTATGTTCTGCCTACATCATTACATACAAATAAGACGTCACTTGATTAAGAATTTATGCTAACAATAAGAATAATGGCTGTAGTATTAATCTTTGCATTTGATAAAAGTGTCTACAACAAGTGCAGTATCTTATTTATTTGTAGGCCCACAAAATACATATTCACACCACATTCATTACAGTATATTGTGTGAAGTTGTTTGAAACAACTCAACAATGTGATAAGGTGCTATATCAAATGCAAGAGTTATTATTACATATCAAATACAAGGATTATTATTATAGCACACATTCATTTTTACTGCAAATGGGAAATGCATGTTCCTGATATGAATACACATGATGAAGAGTTGAAACACAGACATTGAAAATATCTATGAATTAACACTAAAGGATAGTTTGATAAAAAGGAATAGAACCATAATTTTAAAGCCAAGAATTAGACAGATCAATATTATCTGTCAAATCTTTAGTAATAGTGAGCTAGTAAACAAGAAACTAGTTCTAGCCATTTTGCCTTTTCAGCCATTTATATATCGGTTTCTAAGATGATTTTTTTCTGATCTGTCATCGTTAATTAACATATTTTATGGTTATGTTCCTCAAATGACTGTTTTACACAAGTCTCTCTTTACACAAGCCTCCTTCTTGCCTCAAATCCTTCTAGTTTGCCCAGCCTGAGCATCTCATCATAATTTATGTCACTATATATTATCCTCCAAGGCTGCATTTGGATTAACTCCAGCTGACTTGATCGTCCTCCATGTTAAACTAAAAGGCCAAAGATGGCCCATATATTCCACACAGGGCCTAATCGCTGTTCTTTAAAAAAATAATAAATCATCAGTGCTAAAACCAGGCCTTAGAAATACAAAGAGATTGCAAATTATTGCGTGCTTCAAGATATCTACTTATCTGTGAACCTATATAGAGATTTGAAACTCATACAGTCTATCCTAATACTTTAGTGCCACACCTGGGGTGTGCTGCATTGTTGGTGGTGTCTTCAGATAGGATGTTAAACTGTGGGCCCATCTGCCTATTCAGGTGGTCATTAAAGATCCCATGGCACTGCTTAAAAAGAGAAGGAAATTTCTCCTAGTGTCTTGGTCAACAGTCACCTAAATAAAATTGGTGTTTCACTTCATGGCTGTTTCTGGGACATTCTTGTGTGCAATTGGGCTGTCATGTTCGCCTACAAATAAGTAGTCACTCCACTTCATAGTAAACCCTGTGAAGTACTTTCATACATCCTCCCGATATGAAAGGTGCTATACCAACATGCAATTATTGGTTATACTATATTTGTTATATGACATAATTTGCTAACACAGTCTTTCTCAATGGCTGTTCCCAGGACCAGCACCAATTCTCAGCAAACTCACAGCTGGACCGTACCAGAGATCTGTTTTGATTGAGTGACTTGACAAGCTCAATGGGTCCACTGCATTGTAAGTAAAAAGGTATGTAGTCCCTGCTATCAAAAGGTTGGGAAATAAAATGCCAATAAACTGTTGTAGATTGGTGACATTCTCAATCTGTTTGTGGACTATTCTTATACTTAGAACTTCCTGATTACGTTTTTGGAGTAAACAGTCCTTATTTATTTGGGCTTTTGGAGGATAGATAATCATTTCCATTGGCTTCCAGCCATTCAATCAACATATCAGAGTTGTCCTATTTGGTAAATAACCATTGAGCTCAAACATCACAGCATTGACCCACTTTCATGTTCACCGATCAAATTTCAGATCATTAACTATAACTAGAAACAAAAGTGGTCTCTGTTTAGTTCCCTGAAGTGCATAGCCCTGAAACCTTGCCCAATTTAAATAAACTGGAGCAATTTCAACCTTTTGAATACTGATCATAAAAAGGCACTTAACAAATCACTTGGGTGGGATGCATATTAAAAAACCTTGAGTGGCCTAAAGGATGTGTTAGTTTGCACGGCTTATATGCAGGTCATATGCAGAAAGACGATAGGACAAAGACCTGCTACAATCTCTGAGTTTGGCTGAAGTTGCAGTACAGTCATTTTGGAAAAGAGGAGTCTGCCTGAAATGCCATTAGTTGCATTTTCACAGTATTTTAAAAATAATCTATATTATAGTCTTTCATTGAGAAAACAAAACAAGCAAAACGTTTCGTTGGATGGGCTGGAAAGCCTGGTGACCCAGTCTAGTAACTAGACCAGTCTATGTGTTTTTTATTATGTCTTATTTCTCCCCTGACAGGGATAGTGGAGGAGTCCTACTCTTGGGATAACACAACATTTGACATCAGGAAGTATAACACAGTTTATTTTACAACACGCTTCTGAGGAGTGAAATTATCTCAGAGGTGGTGAATTTTTCAGGAGACACAGGGTTGAGTTGATTAAAAGACTTGCAATATTCTTGAGCTAGGCCACTGTCTATTGCCTGTTATGAAGGGTTACCAGCATTTGCCCTCTGAAACCTCAAATAATAGGCATCTAGAGGCAGATTAGACCAGATTTATAATTAATAATCCGCAGTATTTTTAGACTCCATTAATACTGTCACTTTTCAAAATACTTTGCTGCAAAGAAGGCTGCCCAGTGGTTTCCACTGTAGATCACATGCTCATTTAACACTATATATGGTCTCAGGGATTTATTTGGGGGGTTAGTTGGGTGTCTGATGCATGTGGAATCTCATCACCATGTTTAGGATTATCTGAACTTGACTGAAGGTTCCACATTCACTTGGAATTGTATGCCACATATACATGGAATTTCCCCTCTGGCTGGGTTGGAATGCTCTCTCCCTGAGGAGACCCATCCTGCTTACCTAATTCCGAAGAGTATTAGGCACAGGTTGTCAAAAGACAAGGCTTGAGAATGATATAGTGTGCTGGAGCTTAACCAACTGAAACCGATAGTTTCTCATTGTAAGCACTGTCTAGCTATCCTGCTGCATGTCCAGCTACGACCAGATTACCCATTAGGGCTTTGGCTTGCATAGTTAACATAAGGTGAGTGGGAAGAATCCCTGCTCCCAATGGCTGGTCTGCCTCTCCAAGTCCTGCCATTGAGCCAGACTGTCTGCTCTGTCATCAGCAATGCTCCAGAGCACTGCGAACCCGCCTGGCTCAGGAACAGGGATTGACTCAATATTGATATTCTGATGCCAAGCATATCACCCTGGAGACAGCTGAGCTCCAAGTTAAGCTAGCTTACCTCCCCACAAGAAGTATCACTACTTGGTCAGCAGTTAACCAGCTAGTGACGATACTCCTTGTGGGGAGGTAAGCTCGGGTTGAAAGCTTTGCGCCTATCGAAAGGTGGGATTTGGGGTTATCTAGAACAACATTTCAGCAATGTCTTTGGAAACCACTGATATGGAGGATATTGCTGGCACAATCTGATTGATGAAAAAGTTGCATATAGTTCATGTGAAACCTATCAACAGCATTCTAAGACAATATTTAAGAGGTATTAAGTGCAAGTGTATGACGTCAATTACTCTATGTAGTCAAATATTAGCAGAGTTGTAACATGATGGAAAGATAAAATACCCATAAGAACTCTGCTCTGGAGGTAGGTTGTGTTGGAATGCAATTCTTGTGGGTTAGTGTGACATCTTCCTAGAAACTAGTCATGGGCGATTCCTGTTAGAAATATTGTGTTTTAGACCTTAGTAAGTATTATGAAAAACTAACGGTTTTGAGTGATTTCAGGGACGTAATGAATATAACGTAATGGATTGAAAGATAGTTAGAAACTGATTGTGCTTTTCTGTCTCTGTTCATGACGCCACGCAGCTCCTTCAATTAAATTACTACTTGTAATCGTCCTCAGCTATCCATTATTCTCGGTTTAAAGAAATGCTGACGTACAGAGAAAGGTCGCAGAAATCAATATGCTGGACAACCATTTTTAGATTACAAATGCAAATGTAAAAGACATGATCAGTTTAATTTTTTTCTCCCATACAAAGCTGGGATTTGCTAAAGTAAGGCTCACAAACCTGATTTCCCTTTGTAAATTGTGAGCAAGTAGGATGTTGGAATGATATTTCTGGCAGACAGTTTGTACAAGACATTTGGGTTCTTTGCTGCTCTATGTGGTGAGAGCCATGGCATTTTACCATCTACCTGGACTTGATTTAAAATTACATCTGCATGCTGCCTCCTACAGCACAGTGCATTCTATCAAAGGGAGAGAAGAGGAAACTTGGAATTTGACCGAATATCAAGCCTGCCCCACATTAGTTTGAACTCTGTGATGGAGCCAAAAGCAAATGTTTTCCATAGCTCTCTGCCAATGGGCTGAACGTAACCAGAGCGGTCATTGTACAATTGACTGTTTGTGTCTTACAGATGTTGGGCAAAATATCGGTCTTGTTTGATGTGTGAAGGGTTCTGCCAATTAACAATTACCAGTTTATACAACAATCCAGGCTTTTTGTGCAGCCAATTGGTTCTAAACCAGAATAATAAATACAAGTATGTAAATAGACTTCTTCTTGTTTGATTGTGTTGGCTTTACAGAACACAATGTAACTTTCATCAATACAAACTTAAATCCAATTCGATAACCAGAATAAGATTTGAATATACATAGAGCTATCACTCTTGTTTTCCTTCTCTTACCATATTTGTTCTCCTTTTGGTCCTTATAACTCATTCAACAATAAAAATAAGTCAATTAAATACAGTTCATTATGATTCAAGTAGCTTTTAGATATATGTACAGTATATCAAAGGTTTTTATTTTTTTATTTTCTTAGAGTTGGATTATTTTTTCCAGGTTTACATCAATCTAGACTTTATAGGGGAAAAATATTGTAAATTATTATGTTCTTATTTATGCTGTTCAGGGAAAAACAAAATAAAATCAATGAATTCTTTGAATGACTTACAGAAACTGATAAAGTGCCAGGGACTATGTATGGAAAAAATATTGGATGGGTTTTTAAAAAAATGCATCTGTTTGAGGATTACTGGAATACTATAAACTGAATAACAAACTAAAGTACGAGGCTTATCATTAAAACTAAGAGGAGCCACTTCATGGCAGAATCAATCAGGAATTTCGGGTTGAGACGCTGTGTAATTGTTCAAACCACGTTTCATTTGATTGTACCTGGAAATAACAACAAAATTACATTTGTGTAGCACCTTTCACATCAGGAGGACGTCCCAAGGCACTGGATAGTCAGAGTTTTGGACCCGAGCTGGGGGACGGGATTGGGGAGGGTGGAGGGCTGGGGGGAAGCAGGGTGATCGAAAGCACTGTCGAAGAGGAGGAAGAAATAATCCTTATTTCTTCACCAAACGTTCGCACATAATTCTAGAAACAGTTTCAACCACCAGGACTTAAATTGAGTTGGATTGGCCACAACATAGGATCCAAGAAGGATTTTATGCAAGGATAGAATCATTAATAATAATAATCCTTGAATTTATATAGGGTCTTATAGTTTTGTTGAGCCATCTGAAAGCGCTTCACAGAATATATTCTAAAGTGAATTGACTGTGTATTTTGTGGGTAAAACGCAGCAGCCAATTGCACACAGCAGTGTCCCACAAACAGTCGTGGATTGAGTGAACAAATTTTTTTTTGGAGGGCTTATTATCCACACAAAGCAATTTGCCAATCAACTAACAACTGGGTTCCTACTTACCGCTAGGTAAACAGAGGCGTGTGGAGTAAGGAAACTTGCCTAAGGTTTCACCTCACCCGGGAATCGAACCTGGATCCTCTCATTTGCGAGGCGAACGTGCTAACCACTACACTACAGAACTCCATGGATAGGATAGAACTTACCATGGGGAAACTGAAAGAAATGGAGGAAGGGTAGGGTGGGTATTCAGAAAGGATGAGATCAGATGGGCCGAAGGACCTTCTATAAGCATTGTGATCATTTGTACTGCAGAACCACACTTAGAATACTGTGTGCAGTTCTGGTCCCCAAATTATAGAAGGGATGTAGAGGCACTGGAGAGGGTGCAAAGGAGATTCTTAAGGATGATCCCAGAACTGAGAGGTTATACCCATCAGGAAAGGCTGAACATATTTGGACTCTTTTCTCTTGAAAAGAAGAGGGTAAGGGGTGAGCTGATAGAGGTCTTTAAAATGGTGAAAGGTTTTGATAGGGTAGACATAGGGAAGATGTTTCCACTTGTGGGGGAGACCAAAACCAGGGGCCATCAATATAAAATAGTCACAAATAGACCAAATAGGGAAGTTAGAAGAAATGTCTTCACACAGAGAGTAGTGGGAATCTGGAATGTGCTATCACAATGAGTTGTTGAGGCAAATAGCATAGATGTATTTAAGGGAAAGCTAGAGAGTTACATGAGGGAGAAAGGAATAAAAGGTTGTGCTTGAAGGCTTAGTTGAGGAAGGGCAAGAGGAGGCTTGTGTACCAGTTGAGCCGAATGGCCTGTTTCTGTTCTGTATATTCTAATGTATTCTAATCA